TTAGTTAATTTCTTTCAATAAACAACATTATATATAACAAAAAACAAGATTAAAGTAATTATTAATATCAAAATCAAATATGAGCTTAGTAACTTAATTACATTTGATAATTTGTCAATTTAAATACTTAAACTCTATAAAAGTATAAAGTATCTAAACATGCTTATTTCTTCTAGAAAGCTAATTAAATCCAACAGAAAAGTTCTTAATCAAACTGTTGATATAATTGTAAAAGAACTATCCAAACATAATTGAAAAGATAAGATCAAACAACAAATCTGCAAGTGAATAATTATAGACAAGTTAAAGTACTTTCTCTTTATATTCTATCTTAACAAATTTATATTTAAACTACTTCAAATTAAGATTAACAAACTTATTAAATTAGTCTATAGAATAATATCCAAATACTTAAATACAATTTTTATTAATTACAGCAGTCTCAATATTACTTTTCTTAAAAAAAGACAAAGATTCTCTCTAGTTAACAATTTAATATCTAAACTCTTTATGTCAGCAGCAAGAAAATACATATTTCAAGACTTGTAATCAATTTAAAAGAACAAATTAATCTGGTTCTATCCAATTTGCAATCTTAATCAATATAATTGAATTCTATATATAACTAAAATCACAAAAGATCTTAAGATTCAAATATGTTTATTCAACTGTTTAACATATCTTAGCAATATTAAAAACTCTATTAGTTTTTTGTTTAAAAGTTTACAATTTTCAAAAAAAATTATAGCAATTAATATAGCAAATGTTTTCAATATCAAATATATTAACCCGTTCTTAAAATTCAATAGTAACAAAAAGTTTATATAATTTTAACTTATATTATATAAAAAAATAGTATAATACAAATCTGAGTTCAACACTTTTCTGCTGATCCATTTACCAATCCAAAAAACAGACGTTCTCAAAAGATTTTATATCTTTTTGATAATAAAGTCTATACACTTTTCTTAACAATACTGGTTTCCTAACTAGCAGAGCAAGCAGCAGCTACCACTTGTTTTTCTTTTCTTTTTCAAACACCTTCTTGCATATTTTTGCAACTAAATATAAGAAACATACCCAAAAGGTTTACGGCAAGAACACCTTTCTAGGAAGAAAACTGACAAGAAAAAGTACTCCCCAAAGACCCCCAAAAGGTTCAAAAGCCTAGAGAAATAAAGAAAAAAAAGCCTTTAGCCTTTATATCATCTCTCTGGCTTCTTACTTCTTTTTTTTCAAGCATGTTTCCTTTTTTTTGGTTTTTCTGGGGAATTTTGCCTATCTCAGTTTGACCTTGAATTTTTGGTTACATCAGATTTTCCTGCAAGATGATTGGTCAAGGTCACGGATTGGTTGATCACATCAGTCACAGAAAAAGTAAACAAGATACATCCTCCCACGTGTTTCAAGTCGCATAATACCAAAATCGATAATATGATTGGTTCCAGAAAGAGTTGGATGGTTTTCTAGTCAAAGGAGTAGTAAGGGAGTTCTGGGTGAAGGTTAAAGTTATGAGTGGAGAAGGAACAATCCCCTTTTTGTTTTTTTCTTTTATTTGCCTCCTTTCTTTTTTTATTCTACTTAGAGAACTGGAAGTAATCACAAGATTCAAATCCTATTTCAATCTTGCAACAAGTTGAAGCATCGATATCTATCCTGAAAATGGTTGAAGAAAGGGATCTTGAAACTATCCACTGGTTGAGCAAAGCAATAATTCCAGAAAGACATGGCTTGGGAGAAAAATCAACAATAAAAAACCAACATTCTTTTTGGTCAGAAGTCTTTAAGCATAAAGTTTCAAGAAATACTCTCCAGAAAGTGCTCTTAAACATTCTTGGATATTATCTGCTTTGATGGAAATTAAACAGTCTAACTGATCACAAGTGATGACAAGTGAGTATTCATGAGGGGTCTGGATTTTGTCCACTGAGAAACCATTTCAATAATAGATAGAATAGATAATAGCTTTTATTTCTTTTTTTATATATCGTTTTATTTGTGCACATTTGTGCTGTTTTTTCTACCTTTATTCCTTTTTTTATCCCTTGCCCTTTGCATAGTTTCTACAAAAGGAGAACAACACAATTTGGATTATGGTTGTGATTATAGAGATGATCTGCAGGCTATAATTCTTATGATACAATTGGATTTTAATTCTAACTATCAGGCTAGCAACGTATCACTCCCATAAATCGCATCTAGAGACTTAGGCTTAAGATGGGTGAGCTAGGTCAAAGAAATTTGTATTTTGCATATATTCTTGTGCATATAATGGTTCTCTATGATTTAATAAATATATAATACCAGTCTGATTGTGAGTTAAAAAAAAAAAATCTGAGCTCAACTGGTTTAAGTATTTTAACAATTCAAATAATTTACTTGAAACTCATGATCCAATACCCAACTTCAAACTATTATTTTAATACTTATATAATATCAATTGTATTGTTAAAGCATATAAAAGATATTATAGTATATATAAAAGAATTAATTTCAAAGAAAAAAACTATTTCATTAATTTAAATAACAATTTGTTCAATTATAATGATTGCTTACTAGGAGTTTTCTTAACAGGTTTTTATATAATACTTTTTATAAGTACTTTAGTATCCTCTTTATAAATTATTTCAATTTTAACAATCCAATTAAATATTATTTATTTCAATTTTAACAATCCAATTAAATATTATTTATTTCAATTTTAACAATCCAATTAAATATTATTTATACAATATTATTAATGGCTATTTATTATATTGCAACATGGAAAAGGTATTTTTAATTTATTAATGACTTCTTTATTTTTTTTTATATTTTAGTACTCAACTTTATCAAAACAAGATCTTTACAAATAATATAAAAATAGACTTGGTTAGCTTAAAATATTCATTAGATGATTTCTTATAAGTAATACTGAATATTCTTTATTGATATTTTTCAAACTATACTATAAAAATAAAAAACAATATAAAAATACTTTATAAAATCCTCAATTATTTAAGAAGAATAACAAATATTAATTTTATTTCAATAATATTGAAAATTAACAAGTTAATATAAAATAAATCAAAATAAGTTAAATATACTAATTCCAAATTTAATTCAAAACTTAATAATATTCTTCAATCAATTAATTTGTTGTTTTTATTTAATATCAAGTAGATAATTATAGCTATTTAGGATTTCTTGACAAGATATATTGTTTTAATTTTTTTTTTTAATATTAGTTAAGTAATTTTTATAGATAAATTAGCATTTAACTTGTTATACTTTTATATATAAAAAATATTATTTCTTTTATAATATATATTTGATATTATATAATTTAAATTAAGTATTTGAATTTTTATTAATATAATAAAATATTAGTATAAATAGGTTAAACTGTATATAATTTATTTTTAAAAATATGATTTGAAAGTTACATATAATTGTAATAAAAAAATATTTTTTTTATATTATAAACAATTTATATATTTATATAATATATATTTAAAAAATTATCAAAAAAAAAATAAGATTTAAAATATATTAAAAAAATATAAATGAAAACTGATTTGATTTAATCTAATAAGATTTTTAATTATAATTTTTAAATAAAATATTTATATTTTAAAATTTTTGATTTACGTATTTAAAGTTTTATTTAAATTAAATTTATTATTTTTAAAATAATCAATATAATATAATAATCAATATAATATAATAATCAATATAATATAATAATCAATATAATATAATAATCAATATAATATAATAATTTAAAAATGTTTGTTTTAATTTAAATTGAAAATTATAATTATAATTTTTGTATTAAATTTTGTACATAAATTTTCTTATATAAATTTATTTATTTATCCATTGATAGAAACATTTTCTCAATGATCAATTATATTATTAGTTTTATATTTTTGTAATAAGAAAACAAAACATATCAAAGAAATACTGTATATATATATTTATTTCCTTTTTGGTCATTGATATGATTGTACTTAAGTGTTATGATATTAGGTTTGATTTTGAAATAAATCATCAATTATGTATGTAAATAGTCAATTAAAAAAAAAAAAGAATTCTTTTTTCAATTATGCTTACATAAAAGAATGTATGCTGTATTTTCTTGAGTTTCATTAATAATTTATCTGACGATAGATAAAATTCATATTTTTCTATCAAGAAGATACAGTGTGTACGCATATCGCAGTCAATAGTATCATGATATACAGTATCATTCGCATTGGAAATCTGATAATTCAATCGTATCGCAAATCTGATATTGCTGTCTGTTTTCGCATAATTTAAATGACTTGTCATGTCATAAAAAATTAATCGTCATAGTTTTCTTTGCAAAATCGTTAAATTGGATTTTTCCAATTATGTTATCGATAAATTATTTGTGTTTGAAATAAAATTATTGTAAAACATTGAATAATGGGAGGACGTCTTCGGTAAATTTGACAAGTGTCATTCGGGATGCAAATAAATTACATGAGTCGAGCGTTGTCGCGATACATTGGATGATTTTAATATAAAACATGCACGATTACATCGCTTTAATGTACGCACAACATGAAGATTACCACTTGATGCATATCTTTGTTCAGTACTGTATGGGGTCATGTAAAAAAAAGTTCTCCCCCTAAACCATACCATACCTAAACCATACCTAAACCATAGCATGCGCACATCTGTTTGTGCACGCAGCTAGAGGAGTGCGATCGTGTTTCCAAGAATTAGATCGATCCCCGTGGTTGAGCAAACGAATAATTAACGTACATTCATGCAATCAAGAATTGCATGAAAGGTTATGAAGGTCGAGGGTGAATTATAACATCGCTTTTATTACCAAACGGTTTTTTTTTTACAAAAGGTCACTACTGTCAAGCCTTGGATGGTTCTTTCAATGTCTGTAACCCTTACACAAAGATGAAACGGTGGAGGTCGTTTTCTGAAACCGCACATGACAAACACCTGACTTTCAAAACAAACAACCTTAAAAGATGAGCAAATATCGTGTCATTTATGGCTTATGCAATAATGCACCTTCTGCTTCTGCTGCTGTGGGGAACTCCGAAATTTCCGAAAAGAAAGCAGGAATTGGGTGGCGGTCATTTTATCATCATTCTATATCAAGGCCTACCAAGGAGGGGATATCACCTTTGAAATCTTTGGGATGACCAAATGCGTCGAAGAAGGAAGAATCGCATACACCTTATTTGAGTATACATGCTGCGGGAATCATGAGCATCGTGCGAACACAAAAAAACGGTATCTCAAGTCCGGATTTCATTAACATTAGAATGCCAAGGACGCGAGGGGCGCAGAAGCTTCGGCCATCAAACCCGTTAAGGAATGACCAATCCTCTCAGCCCTGGTATAAGTGGTCTGAGGACCAAAGGAAGAATGCCGTTTGGAATCTTGGCACACACAACACCTATCACCCTCCTGTTGCACTCTTATTTTAGCATACTTGTTTCATTCTGGTTATTCATTCACCCATTCAAAATTTTATCATTACGGCATGAGAGATGTAACGTTATGTTTGCAACAGAGTTATATTTGTCGTACACGCTTTTTTTTTAAAAAAACCAAACTTGATCGACAACAAATGGCAAACCAGAGTGATATTCATGTATCCGGACGGGCATCATATCATCCACATGGATTTGTATTAGTGGATTTTGATCGGATCTTTTATCTATGATCTCATGTGGAAAGGAGGTGACAACTTTAATTAATCTCTCACTAGCGATCAATTAAACCCACGGAGGTACCCACGATTTATCAAAATGGATGTCGTGATGCACGTGTGTGGTTGGATTATTCGTGGAACCCGGTTATTGGATTGCGTGATGCAATAACGGTTTCTAACATGAGCGTCGTATGCAGGTGGTGTGGTGTGGATGGACAGAACGATGAGAGAGAGAGAGTCCCCTCTATGATGATGAACTATTTGTTTAGGAGAATGGTTCAGGTTTCAAGCAAGCATTTACACACATTATGATAAAAAAAAGACGTAATTTCGTTTGACGCTTGTGTTCAAGAGACATAATGAAATTAACTATGTAACACAAAAAGTACGATGGCGTTAAAAAATAGAAGAGTGTGAACAGTGATCTTCACTATTTGCTATGACACCATGTGACCTTTAAGAATTATCCGTAGTCTTAATTAGCTAGGCCAGAGGTTGATTGTGAAGAGGATTCAAAGTGTATTACGCGTACGTTATCCGGTAAATCGTAAACTTTATCGCAACGGAAAAAGATTTTAATTTCGTTTGACTCCTTAATCTCTGATAATCTGATTGGGAAATTCTACGGGTAGCTAAACCATTCCGCGAAATTTTGTTTTTGTTTTTTTCGTCATCAAGTTTTCTATTGGTGATCGATGGAAAATTCCAAAAACATACCAGAGATCAACCGTTCATTCGGCATTTGATTGGTGGGCGGAAGTCCTTCGACCAATGAAACCTTGAGGCCTCTCCCCTCATCCCAAAAAAGAAAACGAAGGTGAATCCGAATTATGAACATTCACGAGAATACATCTCACAAATAAGGAGAAAAACGGTGGAGGTCTTAAATAATAAATTTTTGACAGATCAAGGTTTAATTCGTATATTACACAAACCTGCAGGAACTGATGAATGGCGTGAGTGTGTGCGAAGAAAAGGAAATGGCCGAAATCAAACGGTCCAACCATTCAATTTCCCATAGTCGTGTAGCAAAGAGGGTGATTGAGCATTTACGCTTTAACCATTATATAATCATTATATATCACACCACCTTCTTTCCTTGAATTTTCACTTTGTTTTCTGTTTGTTTATAATAACAGTAGATGCCTTATCAGAAAAACCACATTAAATTTCTATGAAAATAATAATCCGAACATCTCCGTATGCATCCGACCACATTTTCTATCCCGGAAATACAATAAATCTGATGAATTTTCTTTTCAGGCGGAGTAACGCACATGCATCACATCCCTGAGTACGAGTTTCACAAGTGTCGCGTTATCATTAGTAATTAATATTAAGATTAATACCACCCCTAACCCAATGGATGACAACCTTACCCTGTTTGGTGGGTTAACTATGTGGATGTTCACATTAATACCTATTTCTTTCAGATTAGGTAAGGGCCTTACATCTATCCTACTGAAATTTGATTTCCTTTCTTATCCTTGCGAATATGCTCTTTTTTTTGATAAATGGTTGAACCAAAAAAATCAATTTTTACCTAACTGAGCTAATTGCTTCGGTGACCAATGATAGCGTTGATAGAATGAGCAATATAGGTCGCCGTATATGTATCTACATCCTATCTTATTCTTCGACGTTACCATAATCGCTGGTCGCTGCGAATCCTGCGCAGCAAAGAAATTTTTGAAGAACGTGAGCGAATCTTGTGTACATCTACCCGATGGTGTGTGATCAGTTATGTTCCGACTTTTTTCGCGTCATCTTACAAATCAGATATCACCCTAATGTGTGATCTCAATCAACAGATGAAGATACTGGTCAGGTAGATCTTGCGCAAGTTGATTAAACTTCCAAAGAACATCTGATGAGACCGATGAGACCTTCCGGGAGGCGAATGTCTGACCTTTCTTTCTTTAAAGGTCAAGGATCCAGACGTCATGCACCGCTCCTTGTCTCAAATAACGAGATTGTTATTATTCATCATCTTCTGACGAGAATTCATTTTACATGCGTGCATACGATACCTTGGGTTTTGCATATGTTTTTTTTTATTTTGGTCAATCAACATTTTAGGAATCATATCATAAGATTACTTTTCTATTATACCTGT